GATATTACGAAGACGACGACGATTATTATTATTAAATTCGGATTGTTTAATACGTCACGTGTTTGATTTGTAACCGGAAATGTAGGAAAAACGGAAACAAAAATATTTAAAACGTTTTCATTTCGATTTTTGTTTTTCATTTTTTTTTTTTTTTTTTTTTTTAATCTGAAAAAAGAGTAAGAGGGAAAAGGTGGGCGAAAAAAAAGAACCGGCTATCGACGTGTAAGAAGAAAAAAAAAATTGTTTATCAGTTAATAAAAAAAATAAAGAATCGAACGAGCCCACGTTTGACAATTAGAATAGTAAAAAAAATTTTGGCGCCAAATCAAATTTTTTTTTTTTTTTTTTTACGTAACAAAAAGTTTTCCCGTCAATCAAGTTTTTTGTCTTCTGCTTCCTTTTTCGGACTAACGGGTAAAGGTTTATGAAAAAGTGGAAGAAGAAATCGATGATTGAGAATGACTTTTCGATTTCTTACTAAAAGATTTGTACGATTTATAATCGTTGCTGTTTGTTGTTGTTCCTGCTTTTGTTTGTTACCATTTCTTCTGCTGTTTGTTGTTGTTGCTCTTGCTGTTGTTTTTACTGTTTCTGCTGCTGTTTGTTGTTGTTGCTCCTGTTGCCATTTGTCGCTCTGCTCCTCTTTCACTTTCTTTTCCAGGATATTTTTTCTGGAACGGTTGTCAAATTCGTAGAGAAATAAAATCGTTCGAATCGTACGAGATCACTATAATACGAGAGAGAGAGAGAGAGAGAGAGAGAGAGAGAGAGAGAGAGAGGATTGTTGTGTTGTTTGTTAAGCGTTTGTCGTCTGAAACCATTCGAATACCTGCGTTAATAATAATAATAATAATAATACGGGGAAAGTATAAATAAATAAATTCTTTCGACCGTTGTTGTTTTACGACCCGAATAAATTCTGGAAAATTTCAAAATAATTATAATAATAATAATAATAGAACTACGTCATAAAAATTATTAGTATTATTATTATTATTATTATTATATAAAAATTTATTGTTTTTTATTGCTTCATTTTTGAATATTTTAAAAAACGTTCATCACACACAGATATGACTTTTAAACTTTCTTCTTTTTTTTTTTTTTTAATCGGACGAAAAGTTGAAAAGTGATTTTTTTTTTTTTTGACTACGTCGGCGGCGGTTAAAAAAAAACAAAACAAAACGTGGCACGTTTGACACACTTGAAAGAGAGAGGGAGGAGGGAAGAAGGAGGAGAGAAGGGGAGAAGAGAGGGAGGAGAAAAAGAAAAAATTTAAAGTTTCACAATGAAAGAGAAATGAATTCGCACTTTTTTTTTCTTTTTTTTTTTTTTTTGGTTTGTTCGTTTCGTGTTTCGTTTTGTGCCGCCGATCCGCCGAAAAAGGTTTACGACGTGATTGATCGATAAATCGGAAGAAAAAAAAAAATCGAACAAACAATTTTAAAAACAAAAAAAACAATTCACAATAGATTTTTATTTACATAACGAGTGCAAACTATTTTTTTTTTCGATGATCGTTTGAGCGCTTTCTCTTTTTTTTTTTTTTCTAATTTCGAAACTTTTAAAATTTTTTTCGCGGCGTTTTTTTATTAAACCACGTGACACTTTCGAATTTTCGATCTCGTTGAAAATTTGCAAAAAAAAAAAAAAAAAAAGAGAAAATTCACGGGAAATTAAAACGTTTTTATTACTAATGGCGGAAATAAAATTTTTTCCTTTTATTCTCAACAACAAACAACAATAACAAAAAACAAGGTGGAAGAAATTAATTAATTGAAATTGGTAAAAGGAATTTTCTAGAAGGAGAGAGAAATTTGAGGGGTAGGACTAAAAAAAATAAAATCATCGTCGAAAAGTCTTGACAAACCGACGTTGATGTCGTCATTTCCGCTAAGAAAAAAAATATCACAAAATGATTTTAGTTTTTTTTTTTATTTAAAATTTTTTCCCGGTTGTTCGTTTGTCGTTTTTGATTTTATTTTTGATTCTTTAAAAGGTAAATAATTAATGACTGGAAAAAAAAAGACTGGAGGAATCCGACGGGGAAAAATTTTCGAGAATGAAAAATCAACACGTTTTTTTTTTTTAAAACTATTAAAACTCATAGTTTAACATATTTATATGTATGTAAACGGATGTGTAATTAATTGAAAAAAGACGTGTCACTAGGTTAGAATAACACGTGGTTTAATTTTCAAATGTTTATTCTCATCGTGACGTTTGATTCGATTTGTTTTTAAATAATAATTCACAAACGAAAAACGTTTTAATTTTGTTGTTGTTATTGTTGTTGTCATTTGTTATCGTGGAAGAAGAAAAGATAAATGAAGAGAGCAAAACTATTAGCGAACATAAAATATTTAAAAAGGGAATTCCATTGAAAATCTTTTTCATTCGAAAAAGAAAAAAATTTTTTTTTTTTTCAAGAAAATTTACGTCGAAATTATTATTATCTAATGACCCGAAAAAAATTTATTTTTTTTCGAAAAGTTTTCCCGATGTACGAGTACCCCCGCCGTGATGATGACGTCGTCGTCGTCGTCGGTATTTTTTGTCGATACGACAATCAACCGCCACCGTAAATTCTCCAAATTTGAATTGATTTAAATGAGTTTTCATTCGTACGATCGTAAAAAAAAAAAAAAAAAAATTTAAAAGAGAGAGAGAGAGAGAAAATAAAGTGGAAGAAGAAGAAGAAATGAATGAATGAATGACGCGTTCATCTGTTTGTCGGATTACAAAATTCGGCGTTTGTTTTTGTCCGTTTAATTAACGACAAAATAAAATAAAAACTTTCAATGGTCATTTTTTTCGAATTGTTGTGTCTCTGTTGAATTGTAGTTTAATTGTAGTGACGAGATTTGTTTTTTAAGACCACACACACGCGCACGTACACACACACACACACGTTAATAAAATACAAAAAAAAAAATCAAATAAATTATTTCAAAAAAAAAAAATAATGATAATAAAAACAATAATAATAAGTTGAAAATTTATATAAAACAATAATAAAAAAATTATTATTATTATTATTAGTATTATTTGTTCATCGAACGTGTAATGAATAGTAAATACAAAAACAAAATTTAAATAAAAATGGGTGTTAAAGTGGCAGAAGAAAAATATTAATTAAATTTATTGTATAATTTTTAATACGTCGTGGTTTAAAAAAGTTTTGTAATGGGGATGAACGCGATCGATGATGGTCGGTTAAAGCGTAGCGGAAGGGAAAAAAAAATCGGACGGGGAAATTTTTCCCTCTCGATAAAAATGGCGCGAGATTTGAAGAGTACGTTGAAATTTTTTTTCCTGTCGGCGGTCATAAAGATGATTAACTAGACAGTTTTAAACGTAATAATAAATTTACGAATTTCCCCCCGAGTGTATATAATTTGTTTGTTGTTGATGTGGTTGTTTTCGGTTGTTCTCACGTCATTTAAAATTAAAATTTTTTAAATTTTTCCATCGGGAAAAAATTAGTAGTACAAACATTTTGGAAAATTTTTTTTCTTTTCCGGAAAATCATAAAACTCGGCGTAATTTTTTTTTTTTTTTTCGGGTCGATTGTTTGTCGTGTTTGCCCCATCACGTTGTTTATTTTAAAAATATTTTAAAAAATGGGAATTAAACAAACATTAAATAAATGAGAGAGAGAGAGAAAGATTGGAATTTTTGAGAAAGAGAGAGAGAGAGAAAAGAGGAAATAAATAAAGAAAACCGAAATAATGAAAACACGTGTTTACGAGTGTTTGTCGCTTCCGGTAACAAACGTATCAAAACAATTTACAATAAAATGCTGTAAATAAATTTTTTTTTTTTTTTTAAACTTTCGAGAATATTCGGTTGTAATAAAATTTATTACGCGCGTTATTTATGTATTATTAAATACATTCGGATTTTATTTTTTATATTTTTTCGGCTTTTGGCCTTTTTTTTTTTTTACGTGGCGTAATTTATACAGGTAGCAGGAAAAGGTAGTAGCCAACATAATAAATTCCATTCTTACTCGTTTTATTTATTATTATTATCATCATTATTTATTTATTATATGAAACGCGTAGGGAAGAATGTGTGGAAAGGAAAGAAATGGATAAGAGAAAGAGAGAAAGTAGAAAATTTTAGCGCGTTTTTCTTTGTTTTGCTTTGCTCTGATAAAATTTTCGCGGCGTTTTTTTGAAATATTTACGCGCGCGTTCGACATATTAAATTTTTAATAAACGTTGTCGTTTCCTTTTTCTTCCAAAAGTTTTTATAATAATAATAAACAAAATGGCGGAAGTTATTAAAAAAAAAATACTTATATATATATATATGGAGAGTAACGATTCTTTATTATCATTATCATTATCATTATTATTTATTAATTTTTTATTTTTTATACATACATATATAAATATAATAACTTTTTAAAAACAATAGGTTGTTTAAAAAAGATTTATTATCTTTTAGTTTATCTGCTTCCACTTTAAAAAAAGTTGGTTTCTGGCTATCGACTTTTTCTACTTCGCGTCCTGGAGATCTTATGGATTCTTCATTGTTTATAATAATAATGATAATGATGATAATGATGATGATGATGATGATACTTCGTCATCGTCGTCATCGTCGTTGTCCGTCATAAAAAAATAATTACATCTTGCGAATGAAGTGTCGCAGAAAAAAGAAAATTTTTTTTATTGCACACGTGAAAACTCATCATCTTCCTCCTTTCCCCCCTCTCTCTCTTCCTTTCTCCGCCTGCTTCTGTCCCTCTTTCCTGCATTTTTTCATTTGATTCGGCTGTCACCGTTTGACGAAAAAAAAAAAAATAATAATAATTTTTTATATAATTAAACTTGGGTGGTCTTTTCATCTACTCTAACCACCGAAGGCTCCCTAAAAAAAAAAAAAATTTTTTTTTTTTGCCATAAGTGGTAAAAATATTTCTTTCACCTTTGGGACGTCTTATCATTATTATCATAATTATTATTAACCGTTTTGTTCACGTGGTTTCTATGTCACAGAAATCGTCCTCGTTTTTTTTTTTTTTTTTTTTTTTTACGTGGTGGACGCGGATAATTTATGTAAGAGTTATTATAGATAATTTAACCGCGCTATCAAATCTCCCATTATCATCATTATCATCATCATCATCATCATTACAATAATTATATTATTATTATTATTATCATTGTGTTTTATTTATTTAATTTTTTTTTCAGGTTTTATAAAGAAGTCGACACGTTTTTAAGTACGGAACCGGAAAGTAAGTTATTATTATTATTATTATTTTGGGTTTTTGTTTCGTTTAGTTTTTTTTGGGGATACGACAAAGAAGAGAGAGAGGCAAAGAAAGTCGGAGAGAGATAGAGAGAGACAGAGAGTCAGAGAGTGACAGAGGGAGTCAGAGAGAGAGAAAACCACAAAAAATCGACTTCATTTTGTTTGTTTGTTTGTTACAGATAAACTGATATGCGTTCATTGCGTTCACGGGGTTAACCGTACCGGATACTACATATGTCGGTACATGATAGAAAAACTTAAATTTACACCAGAAGACGCGATCAAAGGTAAATAAAAAAAAAACGATTACCGGCGGTGTGGTCGGCAGTTGGCGGTATTGATAAGGCAAGTCGGGGGTGAAGGGTATGCATGCACCGTACGTAGAAGAAAACGCTTTTTTTGTGCGTGTTTTCCCAAACGGAAAAGGGTATCTTTTAAAAGTGACTGACCCCTTACAAATGGTGACGAATAATAATAATAATAATAAAATTTGCTCTAGTTCATCTCGTTCCTGTTTAATTCCTTCCGTCTTTAGGTCACCATTTGTAAAATGTCTTTCACTTTCTCATTTCACAACCATCACCACCATCACCATAATCATCATCATCATCATCATCAACGTCACCCGTACAATATTATTATCACGTTATAAATGATTTTATAATTCTTGGCTAATAATCTGTCGGGTTGTTTTTTTTTATTTTTTTTATTTTTTATTTTAATGGTTTTAATCGGATTGCGTTGATGTAATAAAAGCGTCAACGATAATTTAAATTATTTTACACACACACACACACAGGAAGCTCACAAAACTGTCAAAATAATTAATTACGTTTATTTTAAATGAGAATAATAAAGTATAGTCATTAAAAAAAAAAAAAATTCCCATCCATGTGCTTGTGCATGGAAATTGTTGTTTTTGTTGTTGTGGTTGTTGTGATTGTAGTAGTAAAGAAAATCTTTGTTGCGAAATTTTTTTTTTTTTATTTTTTTTATTAACCTTCGACTACTCGTTACTACTTTATTATTATTATGGCGGCTGCTCCTCTTTCCAGTAGTTTTTCAACATTTTTGTAATAATCATCCTAACAAACTCTCCACCATCTATCTATCTATCTCTCTCTCTCTTTTACATCTTTTTTCTTCTCTTTTTACTGATTTATTTGGTTACTTTGTAAAACAATTTTTTTTTTATTTCTCTCTTTAACTTTTTTAATACTACGGTGAATGTTTCCTTTTTTTTTTTTTTTTATTACGCATCATCCTGTCGTTGCTTGTCATTATTATCATTATCATCATCATCATCATCATCATTATTATTATTACAATTACTCATTATTAATCTTGGTTTTTTTTTTGGGGGGGGGGGCGGCATGCATGGAATAAATTAAACTTTTTTCTTTTTTTTTAAATTCATAATAATTTTTGAATGGGTTTAATGGCGTCATGACAGTCGTCGCGCGTCTGTGACGTCACGTAAAAGTAAAGTAAAAAAAAAATTTTTTTTTTTTTTTTTTTAGCTTTCGAATCGTCGAGAAAATGTAAAATGGAGAGAATGCATTTCGTTGATCATTTAAAAAGTTTAAATTCGTTATGAAAAATTTAAAAGAAATAATGACGAAGGTTACACAAAAAAACGATGACGACGACGACGACGACGACGACGTGACGAATCGTCAAAACCGGAAATGACGATGACGACGACAAAAAAGAAATTTAAAACGGAAACGAAATAAGGTATGATTTTTTTTATTATTATTATTATTTTTCTATTGGATGTGATTGTTTGTTGGAAAATTTTTGTGAGGAAATCCGTCACCTCCCCGTCACCCGTGGATGGATTGCGGTTGCGATTGTTGGTTGCGTGACGAAAAAAATTGTTGTGTTATAATAATAATAATAATAATAAAATTATTTTTTTATTGCCGTTTTTTATAATTTTTTTTCTTTTTTTTAAATAATTTTTTTTCCCTACGGTAATCACGCGGGATGCGCGTTTGTCGTTTGTTTTAAATAAAATTTTTTTTTAATTTTACGATTTTGTTTGTGGTTGTTTTGTTAACAAACAACCCAACAAAAATAAAAATTTTTATTAATTTTTTAAATACTTTCTCAACGTTCGAAAAATTTTTCTTTTTTATAAAAACAAAAAATTTTCTTGTCTGTTTGTTTATATTCGATGAATTCGGGGGAAAAAAAATTGAAAAATAATAACAAAACGATAATACTACCAACATGACAAAAAAAAAATAACAATAACAACAACACATGTCAAAAAAAGTTCGTGACGACATCATCATCGATAATAATATCGAAAAAATAATAATAATAATAAAAAAAAAAACAAAAAAAAAAAAAAAAAATTTCAAACGAGGAAAAATCATTGCCGACGACACCACCGCCTACACTCCGATTTTATCGCCTTGACCGCAACCGCCACAAACGTCACCACAAACGTCACCAACATCAATTTCAATAGTTTTTTTTTTTTCGTTTAAAAAAAAAAAGAAACAAAAAATGTTTTTTTTGATTTTTTCGGATTTAAAACAACAACAGTAATAATAAATAAATAAATAAAAAGAAAATGGCTGAAAATATAATGAAATCGACAAACGAAGGGTTGTTTTATAACGAAATGAAAACAAACATGGCACACAAATCGGAAAATTATTTGATAACATTTTATAAATTATTTAAATTTGAGGTTATATCATGGTGTAATTATTTTAAACTAGTTTTTCGAATAATACAAAATAATTGGTATTAATAATAATAATAATAATATTTATAATGATGATGAATCAATATAAATTTTTTCTCGTATTAATAATAATAATATAAAATTAAAATCATGTCCGTCATGTCCGGTGACGAGGAGAACAAGAAAAAGGTTGATGACGTCGGCGGCGTCGACGTTCGCGACGACGACGGTTTTTTTTCAACAAATAATCCGACGCTTGCGAAGAAAACATTTGGAAAAAAAAATCATAGGAAAAATAAAATCCCGGAAAATGTTTTGACGAAAATATGGGATGAAATAAATTTTGCAGAATATTTATTACTTAAATATTTAGAAGAAATAATGGAAAATTATGGGAAAACGGAAGAAAGTGATAAAAGGTTAACTCTTAGGGATTTATCGGATTTGATAAGGAGAGAAATAAAACATTTGAACAAAGTGAAGAAAAGTCGTGTCGTGAGCGTTTCCGGTAATTTCGTGACGTTTCAATCCGACGACGGTGAATTTTTAGTCACTCTCGTACCCGGAGAAGAATTACATAAAAATTTTCAAAATATTTTCTCATTATCAAATGTTAAACCTCGCTTTGCTAAACCCGTGCAAAGTCGCGAAAATTGTTATCGTACGTCGATGACGTCATCGACGTCGACGTCACCATCGACGGAATCAATTTATTACGATGCTTTATGCGATATTAAATCCGATATTAATTTATTAACGACGTCTATGACGAAATTACAACGAACATCTTCGGAAAATGATGAGTCGTCGTCGTCATCGTCGTCGTCGACGATGACGTCACAATCGGATATTGGTAAATCAATACACTGTTTATTAAAATATATATTTGCAACGACGATTGGAAAACTCGAAACCGGAAATACATCGACGATGTCATTATTCAAACGATAAAAAAAAATTTTTTTTTTTTTCTTGTGTGTTTTGTCACGCGACGCTCTCTTTAATGTCACCGGATGTGTACATATTTATTTTATTATTATTAAAAAAAAAAAAAAAATTATTTATTTAAATTTATTTATTTAAAAAAAAAATAAAATAAAGCAGAAGACGGAGCGAAACGATTATTTATATATATTTTAATAACTCGATGATGATACGACGATGCGCGACGCTTAAGGCGTCATCATTTTCAATTCAAGTTAGTCAAAAAAACAAAACAAGGTCAGAGTGGCGCTGTTAACAGGTCTGAGGGTTCAGGTATGAGAATGTTCATCAATGTCACTGAACACAATCAACCAATCAGAATAGGTAAAATCCCAATTACTTCGAGAACCGACATATTTGTGTGTGTGTGTGTGTGTGTTATTAACCGCCGCCACGTTTTGAGACGCAGATTGATTTAGTTTAATTTTTTTTTTTTTTTTTTTTTTTTACTCTATGAGCTTTTTAGTTTTTTTTTATGTTTTTTCATGTCCCCCCAATAAAAAAAAAAAAAAAACTTTAACGATTTTTTTTTAAAATGGTATAACGACTCCGATGTTTTCGTTTTAAGTATCGAAAGGGTTGTTGGTTGGTTGGTTGATTAGTTGACTAGTAAACGAAAAATCGATTGTTTCGAGTTATCGAAATTAATCGATTTTTTTTTTTCATACCTACGCCACTGTTTTGTAATAAAGATGACATGAAAGGTTTGACAAGTGACATTAAATATTAAATTTATAATCGGGTTGTTTTTTTTTTTTGGTGTTTTTAACGACTTTTATCCCTTATGAGCGTCATCATCGTCGTTATCGTGATTGCAATCGTCGTCGTCGTCGTCGTCGTCGTCACCATCATCGTCATCATCGTCACCGCCGCCGCCGCTGAATGAAGATATATACGTTTGAGATATTGTAGTGTTAAAAATGTCTCGGTTTTGCGTAACAATATCGTCAACACATGACAAATATCATCGTCGTCATCAACAACAACAACCACAATAACAAAATTATTTTTTATCACTGCCAACTTTTATCTAAAATCTTTTTTTTTTTAAACGGATGCAGTTCGTTTGTTTGTTTGTTTCGTTTTAATCTTTTCATTTATTTATTTTTTTTCAAAAAAAGGTTAATTTAATTAATTGCCCAAAAAGGTTTTTTCAAATCGTTTTCTGTCATGTTCTTTAAATCGTCTCATCCCCCCTTCCTCTTCCTCTTCCTCTCCTCCAGGGCTCCGACGATTGTTTTTGGCTCCTTTTTTATTGTCGTTTGTCGTTATTGCGTGCATAAATCAGATTTTTCTTTGTTTTCTGATGTGTTCTTTCTTTTTCTACTTCCAAGAAGTTGTTCTGTTGTCGTTTGTTAACGTATTGGTAAACGGTAGAAAAAAAATTTGATCGGTAATTATCCCGTTGTTACGTCATCAACTCGATCGAATCGTTGAAAAAGTTAACAAATTAAAAAAAAACAACGAGGATTAAAAGAGAGAGAAAGAGATGATGATGAGAGAGAGAGAGAGGTAGAAAAATTTAACCTCGGGTTACTTGCTACGTTCATATCGTCATTAAATTTCTTGTCAGTTTATGGACGTTTCTCATCACGTCTTCATTTTTTTTTTTTATTATGTTGGCGCTTCTGTTAATGGGATAGCGATAATTGTGCGAATTAATTTTTTGCTTAAAAACCATTGATATAAATTATTATTTACCCTTTTATTTATTTATTTATTTTTTTTATTTTTGTCATAGAGTAAAAATATTATGTATGAATAATAAACGGTAGGATTTTATAAATTTAGGGAAGTTTTCTCTCTCTCTCTCTCTTTTATTCCTTTTTTTTTCTTCTTTTCTCTCACTCTCTCTCTTTTTTGTTTCTGATTTTATCATTTGTTCTCTTTGCTCTCTTTTTTTATCGTTCTGTATTTTCTCTCTCTCTCCGTTCTAACTTTTTCTTTTTCTCTATCTCTATTTTCTCTTTTTATTTCCGTCTTTCTCTTCCTTTTCGGATATTTATTATTTTCTCCATTTGCTTTTCTTTCTTTCTCTGTCTCTTCTGCCTTTTTTTTTATTTCTGTATCTGTCTTCTCTTTCTCTCTCTTTTTTCCTTTCCTTTCCTTTTTTTTTTATTGTGTTTCTCCTCTCTCTCCCTTTTCTTTCTTTTTTTTTTGGTTTTATTTTACGTTTTACGTTTTCACTTTTAAGATTTATTAATAAAAAAAAAAAAATTTTATTGTTACGCCGCACATTTTTTTTTTTTTTACATCTCCAAAAACTAAATAGAATTTCATAGTTCATTCACGGAAATAAAACACAAAGAGAAAGGGGGGAGACGAGGAGACGGTGAGACTGGGTGACAAAAAAAAAGGTCACTAATAAAAAGTTAGTCATAACAATGGTGATGATGATGATGATGACGGTTATCAAATTACTTAAAAATTTAAAATCGGGTGGTCCGAAACACACACACACACAAAAAAAACGCGCCATTTTTATAATTTTTGATTTTCTCAACTCGTTTTGCCATCGTAAAAAAAAAATTATTAATAATAATAATAATAATAATAATAATAATAATAATAATAATAATTATTATTATTATTATTATTATTATAAATTTTTTAACGTAAAGTTTCAAAAATGAATGACGGATTCGAACGGATTTGTTAATTTTTTTTTTCTCTTAAATTTTTACTTTATTATTATTATTATTATTATTATTATTATTATTATTAAAAATTTTACATCGTTTCCGGTTATTTAAAAAGGAAACGAACGAGGGCGATGAGGTGATGTGTTTTAAAAAAAAAAAGGTACGAAAAATATTTTAGCGCCTAATTTAACGCCGTTCAGGTTTTTTTTTTTTTGGTTTTAAATCGATTTTTATTGTTTTTACGGTTTTGCAATTTAATTTTTTTTTTGGGTTGGCTCCCCTGCTGTGTTAAATTTTTATGTTTTCGAAAATGTTTCGCAGAATCATTCTTTGTAAAAGAAAAAAAAAAAAAAACGTTACGAAGTCATTTTTCCCGTATGCGAAGTATAACAATTTAATATGACGCAATAAATAAATCTCGATCGATATATTTTTTTTTAATCGAAATATATATATTAATCGAAACGAACCGCCATATTGAATTTTTCATCCACGTGTTTTAACAACAACAACCAACACCGCAATCGCATTCGTTATTGATGGAAAAATTTTTATTTAGAAAATGGAATATTTGATTTTGGAAAAAAAAAAAAAATTGAAAAATAGAATAAGGAAACGGAATGAGGGAAAAAGGAAGAAGGAAAAAATTTTCCGAAATGAAAAATTCTAGAAAAAAAAACAATAAAAAGAAGAAAAAAAAATTGTTTTTTTTTTTTTATTATCTACTGCACATAGTCAGTTGAATTTGATTTTGTGTGGTTTGTCTGCAGGGTGAAAAAAAAAAAATTTTCATTTTTTTTTCCGGAAAATTTTATCAGTCGAACGCCGGCAACCGTTCGGAAAAGTCAACAAACGAAAAAAATTTTTTTTGTTTTTATTACGAACGAAACGATCGCGTGTGAATTTTTTTATTAATTATATATCGTTGTCGTTTTGTGATTGTTATTACGACGTGTTTTGTTATTGTTTGCAAGAAGAAGTAGAAGCAGAAGACAACCACCAAGAGATTTCAATGTCTTCGTCTTAGCAGACGACACATGTTCGACTTCGTTACCAGGTAAGATCGTTCATTTTTTTTTTTTTTCCAGTCGTAAAATCTGGAGCGTAAAAAATCTTTTCATTTGATTATGTTTGTTTCCCACTTTCCCTCCCTCCCCCCGCGCTAGAATCGAACCGTAACAAACAACAAAAAAATTTTTTATTTTTTTGCGTTGGCGATCCTGTTGTCGCTGTGAGTTTTGTCAAATCCGGATGAAACGAAAAGTCTCAGCTTGAATTCATAAAAAAAAAAAAAAAATTAATTAATTTTTTTATTCGAAGGTGTACATATTTCACGGCGCCAATACTACCAACTTAAAGTCGTAAACTTTTTTTTTTTGCGTTTGTGTTGACACTTGTCTCTCTCTCTCTCTCCCCACCCCCCGTTTTTTTATTATCCGACGTACAAAAACAATTCGAGAAGATTATTTGATTGTTTTAAAAACGCCGCGTTTTTTTTGTCCCCCCCCTCTTCTCCCCTTGGAATTCTTTAAGGATGAACAACTACAATCGTTTGTCGAAAGGAAAACAAACATATTCGAGATTGTTCTAGAAAATTCTTTCGTATTTTATTGAAAAAAAAAAAACTTTTGAATGAGAAAAAAAATCGTTAAAAATAATTTTTAAAAAAATACTAAAAAAATTTCGCATTCTCGCGTGAATGTTTGTGCGTGGGTACGTGCGTGCGTGCGTGTGTGTGGCGGTTTTTGAAATTTAAAAAAAAGGTAAAAACTATTTTCAAATCGGTGGTACTCTTTTATTTAAAAAAAAATCCGCCTACAAATTATTTTTCGCACCTTTTCCCAATCCGTGTATTAAATTGTTTAACCGAAAATTTTTTTTTGGTAAAAAAAAACAAAAAAAATCACACCCGCCCCCCTTCTCACCTTCCTCTTCTTTTCTTTTTCCAATCAATGAAAGCATAATACTGCAATTTTTTTGTGAACATTTCTATCATTATTATTATTATTTTATACCATTGAAAAAAAAAAAACAGGTATTGAAATTTTTTTGACGGGTAAAAAAAAATAAAGACAAGACGCAAGTTTTCCTTTTTTTTCTTTTGTTTTATTCAAAAGAGAAGAAAAAAAAAGTTGGCAGCAATTGTAAAACTTAAAAAAAAATAAAGGACGACAGTTACGGTGACAGTTGGTGATTTTTTTTAAAAAAAAAGAGAATTATTAAGTCACCAAGTTTCTTTTGGTCGTCACGTCGTTTTAATTTATTATTAAATATTTTCAGGTACGAATTTTTACTTTTTTTTCAATGAGTAACCCCCCCCCCCCAAAAAAAAAAAAAAAAAAAAAAAACAAAATTTTTTAAACGCGTATTGAACGTTTTCTTAGAAAAAAAATTTTTTTTTATTTTTATTGGGTTGTCACTCTTGAATCGATCATTGTAGAACAACACTTGAGAGAGAAAGAGAGAGAAACGTGGGGTGACATATTGGGTGACACGTTAAATCCTCTTTCGTGTATTTCTTAGGGTAATTTAAATTTAAGTAAAAAGTCATACCGACACCACCGCAACCCCCACCCCCACTCCCACAACCACCGCCGCATTTTTTATTTGACAACAGGTAAAAATTAAAGTAGGTACCTACCTATTTACCTACCTACCTACCACGTACCTCTATCCATGAGCCCCTGACATCTAAATATAATTCACTTTTAACGGTTACTTTACACTTGTATCCACCCTCCCCTCCCCAAAACGGTTTCATTTCTTTTTATTTCGTTTTCACTTTTTTTTCCTTCTCTCTTTTTTATTATTTCCTGTCCTTTTCCTTCAGGTATTTCAAACTAAAAAAAAAAAATTCATTTGTAATAGTTTCCGCTCTTGTTTTGTCTTCTTACCCGATTTCCAAATGATTGCATTTGTGAAAAACATTTTTTTTTCTTTTTTTTTTATTTATGAGTGAATAACTTTTTTACCCCTCCCCTCCTCCCTCTGAGCTCCTACTTCTCCTCCCTCTCATTTCACACACAAAAGAATTTTTTTTCCTCTTCTCTTTAAGGTCATTTATTTCCCTGCGTAAAACAGAAAGAGAGAGAGAGAGAGAGAGGCAAACAACACGACTTTATCAAATTGACCGTGAACATATTCTATGATGACGTCACATAACAAGTACTTCCGTTTCGTATTGTAAAACCGACGAATCAAACCGACGTAGTTATTATTAATATTTTCACGTTAATAATATCGTATATCGTATCGAAAATAAATAAATTCCAATCGATTATCTCGATATATTCGCGTGGAATCGATACGAGTTTGTTGTTGTTGTTTAGCAATTCAATCCGTTTTTTCTCTACCTACCTTCTTCTTTTGTGTGCGTGCGTGCGTAATCTTAACAAACGAATCTTTTATTATTATTATTCGTTTAAATATAATATTAATTATAAAAGTTTTTTTTTTTTTTTATTTATAACAACCGTTTTTTGAATAATTATAGACTATAAAAAAAAAATATAGACCAATAGGAAAAAAAAATTTGATGATAATAATAATAATAAAAAACAATTCAAATAAAAATGATTTCTCTCTCCGCTTTTTAATTATAATTAAATTGAGTTCGACTGTTAAAATTTAATTTGTTTGTGGTCACTTTTTTTTTTTTTTTTCTATGGAACGCATGGAATTCCATGAAGATGGTGGGGCAGGGAGGGGAGGAGATCGGTTGGAAAGGAGGAGGAGGAGAGAGACTTGA